TTATTATTTTCTTTAAAAGACTTCATTTCTTTATATACTACTAAAAAACTCTGCCAGTTAAACCATGCTTTCTTACCACTTGTAACTTTTATTTTCTACTTAATGAAAAAATTCATGATTTTTACATAGAAATTTTTTTTTTTAATTAGAGCTATTACTTTCTTTCTATTTATTTTTTTAATATATATTTTTTTGGTATTGAGGATCAAACTCAAGATCTTGTGCTTACGAGGCAGACATGGTGCCACTGAGCTATAAATCCCTGGCCCTATATTTTTTAAAATTCTGAGATAGGGTCTTCCTTAGTTAGTAAATTGCCCAGGCTGCACCTGAACTTGTCATCCTCCTGCCTCAGTCTCCCAGAGTGCTGGGATTACATAGATACACCACCATGCCCTCCTCCCGCTTTGCTTTTGTTCTCGTTTGCTTGCCTCCCAGGAGCTGCCAGATCTGCTGGACATTCTCAAGAGACATTTCTGGGTGGTGGGGCTCTGTGATGCCTTAGTTAACTGCTTCAATTCAGTAGCTGTGAGGTTGTCTTTGAGGCTAGACTCAGAATTTCCATGCAAGACATGAAAAGTGGGACAGGTGACAAGATTTCTCTGGGAGAAGTAGGTAGGGGAAATAGATTATCTCAAGGAGTTCATAAACAGAGTCTTGGTCCTGAACACTGGATTGCTACTCAGAGTGCTGTAACCCATGTGGGAAAAACCTGCACACCGGGAGGCGTGCAGCTAGCATTGTTGCCCACAGCAGAGCCCTGTGATCCTCACTTATTTTTGGGGGAAATATCTAGCAAATCTCTTGCTTAAATAGCAAGAAGCTGCACTTTTGACACCTCACAAAAGGAGAAACAATACCCCACAGGAAATGTAGATGTGAGTATCTTGAGTCTATCTCTGAATTGGCTACAGAGCAGGGCAGAAATTGCTGCTCACTTTATAGGTGAAAGAACTGAGGCCAGATACTTATCACAGAAGAGAAGAACTGCCTATCCATTTGGCTGGAATGTCTACATGGGAGATAATTCCTGTCCCGGGACCTATGGATGCTGGGGTGGGGGGATTCACATGGGGTTAACATGAGGGCAAAACTGAGTCCTGACTACAGGAAGAAGAGTCGTACCTGTACATGCCAGGCCTGGCTGGGGTCTTCAGTCAAGCAGCAGGCCTGCTGCAGGCAGTAAGCAGCCTCTTTGGCCACCAGATCCCATCTTCTTCCCTTGCCTAGGTTGTTGGTGGGATCAGCTGGGTCTAGGATAATGGGCCTGAGGGAAATAAGGGAAGCAGATCTCTGTCACACTCAGGATCCTGGCTTCTGGCACTCATGTCTATCCAAGAGTACAGCCTTTGTGTAGGAAGGATTCCTTGCAAGCTGAAGCTGTTGGTTTAGGTTTGGAATATAACCTAAACTGACTTGGTCAGAGTGAATTTCTGAGATTTTGCTTGGAATGTTCCTTCTTGTACTGGAACATATATGTCCAGATGAGAAGCCCAGGACTGATGTAACCATGAAGGAATTAACCTGAACTTGATGGTAAAACCCTGGGAAAGACAGCTGAACAATTCACATAAAGGGATTCTGATGACATGGCAAACTTCTGCAGCATGCCACACCTTAACCTTCTTTTATTTTGGGGTTTTTCAGTTACAAAAGCTAATAAATTCCTTAAATTTTTTTTAAAAAAACTGTTCCTGTTGGATTTCCTGTTCCTTGAAGCTGAAAGTAATGCAACCAACATACTCACCTGCTCTTCTTCAATTGTTGTTTGATAAAATTTCTGACAATCTCACTTTGGAAATCATAATACTTGGTCCAGTATATGCAAATGTCTTCATAATCCCTGAGGAGTGTCATCACAGCCAGAAGTCCTTCATCCATGTTGAAGTTCTCTTGTTGGTCAGTTCCCATTTCCCAGGCATAGATGGTCAGTAGCTCCAGTGCATATTTTGGGGGCAGAGCTACTTTTCGGTACTGAGGTTTCACATACTAGAGAAAGGAGTTGGGGGAGAGAACAGGAGATAACTGATGCTCTAAGAATTCTCAGGTCACTGTGTTGTATTATGTAGCATAAGCCAAGGAAAGGCGGGGTGTAGGTAGACCTATGTCCTGGGGTTATCAAGATATCAATAAAAGAGGATGCTAGGGTTTCTTATGGATCCTCTGGGCTTTTATCAATCTATGTTTTTCAGTTGGAATGGAGGAAGCAATATAATGAATATAGAAAATAATTGAAGAAAATGAAAACACACATAAGACACCATTGAAAGATGAAAGGGAAAGAGTAATGTGAAAAGTACAATTCCTCCAAAGTTAATTTAAAGTTTTATTGCAATCTCACTTGGAATCCCAGTGGTATTTTAAACAGGACAAAATAGCCTTAAGATTCACATAGAAACATAAATGGCTAGGAAAAGCCAAGAAAATTACAAACTATATTATGTACATGTACCAACTTCCCAAGATGATTGTAAAATGTATGTACTGCAAACATATACTAATAAAAAAGCCAAGAAAATTATGAAAAAGAAAAATAGTCGGATATTTGTCTTTTTGGATATAACATATAAAACAGTTGTAGTAAGAGTATGTTTTTGGTATAGGAATAAGCAATAGTCAAATGTAACAGAACAGCCCAGAATTTGTTCCCAGTAAATAGAATTTAGTATTTGACAAAGGCAATATTTTTTTTTTTTGGTACAGGGGATTGAACTCGGGACCTTGTGCTTGCAGGGCAGGTGGTGGCACCACTGAGCTAAATCCCTGGCCCTGGAGGCAATATTTTGGATCAGTGGGAAAAAGACGCACAATTCAACGATTGATGTACAACTTGTTACCTATTTGGTAGAAAATAAAGTGATTCCATTGTTCCACCATATACCAAAAGAAATTACATGAAGGGCTGGGGATTTAGCTCAGTGGATCCGGTGCCTGCCTCGAAAGCACAGGGTTCCAAGTTCGATCCCCGGTACCAAAAAAAAAAAAAAAACTACATGAAGTTGCTTTACATATTAAACCATATTAGAAGAAAAATGAAGTGACTAATATATGTGTATGGAATATACATATGTCAGTATGTGTATATATATAAGGGGGGGTCAGATAGGAAACATATAATCTATAAAAGAAAGTCATACATTTATCTATGTAAAAATTAGAAACCACTATGTTGTCAAAGACAGTATAATTAAGATTATAGATGAATGATATATTGGTAAATATATCTGAAACACATATGAGAAATAATGGTAAAGGCAATTAAAAAGAGGTCTTAGAGTTGAGAAAAAATACAAAATCAATTGAACAATGTACAAATTACATTAATAGATAACTCCCCAAAGTTTAAATCCAAATGCATTTGTTTAATGGGTGGACTAGAACAACAGTATGGTCCCACGTATCTAAGCTCTGTGCATAAGCTATGTGAATATTGGCAAACACAGATATAAAAGAATGGTCACCGATGATGTTATTGGTATTATCTTAGGATTTTGTATAAATTTTACCTTCTTTCTTAGGCTTTTTGCACTGATGATTTTTTTTTCGGTATTGGGGATTGAAACCAGGGTTTTGCACTATGCTATATCCCAGGCCTTCAAAATTGCTGTTGTTGTTGTTCTTGCTAAGTTGCCAAGGCTGGCACTGAACTTGTGGATCTTCTTGCCTCAGCTTCTCAAGCAGCTGGGATGAGAGGCATAAGCCACTATGCACAGCTTCAATTTTTTAAACATGAGTCCACTGAAATATTCAGATGGAAAAAATAATTATAAAGAATATATTTTTTTGGTACCAGGGATCAAACTCGGGACCTTGAGCTTGCAAGGCAGGTGGTGGAACCACTGAGCTAAATCCCCAGCCCTATAAAGAATATTTTGTATTAAAATCACAAGTGCCAGAGGCAGACATACTTATATTCAAATTTCAGCTCCACTTTAGCATTTGAGTCTCAGTTTTCACATCTCCAAAATAATAATAAATAATGCATACAATTGAATTGCTAACAAGAGCTGAGCATAATCTCAGCTACTGGGGAGGCTGAGGCAGGAGTGTTGCCAAGTTCAAGGCCAGCCTGAGCAACTTAATGAGCTTGTCTCAAAAATAAAGAGGGGTGGGGCATGTGGTAGGTTACTTGCCTAGCATGCACAAAACTATGGAATTGATCCCCAGCAACACACACACAGACTAAATGAGAAAAATATGCAGCATTTGTATGTAGCATAAATCATGGAACTTGATTTACACTCAATAAACGGTAGCTTTATAATAGTTGTTTTACTATTATCTGAAGTACTTGAGGTCTGAAGCCTATTGAAAATCATGCTTGTGCTCATCAGGAACTATTTAACTGCCCTTGAGGAACTGTGTTATTCAAACCAGGCGGCTCTAAGCAGGACAGGATGCTTCAGAGGACAACAGAACATAGCAACAATAAACACCATTACCAACAATACTGGCTACCCCTAACTTTGTCTGGGTGCTCTATGCAGCAGTACCCAACTTTTTGGCATCAGGGACCCATTTTGTGGAAGATAATTTTTCTGTAGGATAGGGAAGAGGAGGGATGGTTTTGGGATGATTCATTCAAGTGCATTACATTTATTGTGTACTTTATTTCTATTATTATTACATTGTATACTTTGTTATTGTTACATTAGGTTCTCACAAGGAATGCAAACCTAAATCCCTTATATCTGTGTGCAGTTCACAGTAGGGTTTGCGTCCCTATGAGAATCCAATGCTGCTGCTGATCTGACAGGAGGCAGAGCTCAGGCAGTAATGTAAGCAATGGGAAGTGGCTTCAGATACAGAGGAGGCTTCCCTGGCTCACCCACTGCTCACCTCCTGCTGCGTGGCAAAGTTCCTAACAGGCTGTGAACTGGAACTGGTCTATGACCCTGGAGATGGGGATCCATCTCCAGGTTACAAATAATTTCCAATTATACTAGTATCTCAGTATAAGGGTTTAATCTGCCTGCCACTCTTAATTGTTTCCTTTTTTTCTCTTTCTCTTTAGGTTTCTTTTTTTTTTTTTTTGGTACCAGGGTTCGAACCTGGGTCCTTGCACTTGCTAGACAGGTGGTGAAACCACTGAGCTAAATCCCTGGCCCTCTCCTTCTCTTTAAAAAACACTGGGTTGCCCCTTGTCCCTGCATCTCCCAGCCTAACCTCCATTCTCTCACCTTCAGGTACCAGAACTTCACCAGCCGCAGGAGGTTTTTCAGTTTAATAGGGCGCCTTTTCACAAAGTCCCTCTGTAACACTGTGAAGCTTGGTGAAAACTCCCCAGGATGGCTGCAGCTTTTTATTAAATCTTCATAGATTTCTGGTGCTGGTTTAGAGTCCAGGCAAAGGGATCCTGGGAGGAAAAAAGTACTTGGTCAGGGAAACCTACTCTTTGAGGTGAAGAAGGTGAAAAGAGCTCCAATGAACATAGTGTATGTATAAATTATTTTAGGCAATTCTCACAACGGTATTACCCTTCTCAATTTATAGCTAGACAAATAAAGGTTTAGATGGTTTGCTAGCACACCCAAAGGTCACATGAATTTAAAATAACTCACGCTGACCAAAAACATACAATATGTCAGGCACTGAGCTACACTCAGGGAATCCTCAGAACAACAGTTCTATGAAGTAGGCAAATTTAAGCAAAACTTAAGACATTACCATTTTTGTTGGTGAAACATGGTCAAATAGCTTTCTATGGTTCCACCTAAATTTGATATTGTCCCATTAAACAAGTTGGTATTCTCAGTGTTGGAGGTATGTTACTGTTTTTGTCTAGAATGTTCCTCAAAAGCACTTGTGGTGAAGTCTTGGTCCCTAATGCAGCAATTTTCAGAGGTGGGGCTTTTGGAAGGTGATCAGATTATAAGGGCTCTAATTTCATCCGATGGATTTATAATTTGATGGCATTTTTGGGAGGTGATGAAACTTAGATGGAGCCTAGCTGAAGGGAAGCAGTCACAGGGGCATGACCTTAGGCACTACATCTTGTCTTTGGCCCCTTTCTCTCAGGATCTTTCTCTCTCCCTCAGGCCTCCCCCTTCTCTTTCCTCTTCCCCATTGCCTCTCCCTTCTTCCTGCTTCTTCTGGCTGCCAAGAGGTGAGCAATTTTATTCCTCTATGCCTTTCTGCCATGCTGTTTCTGCCTTAACACAGGCCCAGAAACAATGGAGCCATGGGCTGCAAAAACCACAAGCCAAAATAAACCTTTCCTGCTTTGAAATGTTATTCTTGAGTGTTTTGTCACAGCAAAGGAAAGCTGACTAACAAAGTGTTAAATAGTTTTTTCAACTAAAGGTGGAGGCAGGAAGATTGAAAGTTTGAGCCCAGCCTGGGCAATTCAGTGACTTAGCTAGATCCTGTCCCTCCAAAAAAATTTTAAAGGGCTGGAGATGTAGCTCAGTGTGAAGACTTTGAGTTCAACAATCCCCAGTACAAAAAAAAAAAAAAAGAGTTCTGTTTTAAAGATGATTCTAATCCAATTCTGTGTGATTCCAAAGACTGTGAAGTGCTTGCTTGACCTAGTGCATCCCAGAGAGTTGGAGAGGCTTAGGTTGGGTAGAAATTCATTATTTAGGAGAAACCCCTTTTCCATGCAACACTGAGACATGGTAACACATGCATTTATGGAAAGACTTAATTCTTAAAAGGATAGCTCCAATCCCATCTCCATGAAAAAGAACAATCTCCACTGGTTTTCACTTTCCCCAAACTCTGAAGCCAGGTCAGTAAAGGGGCCCTATCCATTGCTGTCTTTACCCAGGGCATCAAAGGCCAGGACCACATCCATGCGAATGACATCACTGCTCTTCCTGGGGTGGACCTGTAGAGTCAGGGAGCGAGGTTCTCTGGGTCCCGGTCTGTGGTGAACCACAGCGATGTTGTAGGCCAGGCTCTCACTACAGTGATCAAATCTCTTCTCAATGAAGTCAATGATGAATCCTCGGAGGCTTGCCTGCTTTTGGAAGCTGGTAAAGCAGCTCAGGAACAGAACCATGTCCAGGTCGGAGCTGTGGTTCAGCGTTGTGCCCTTCCCCAAAGAGCCGCCCTGTGGAGGATGACAATGCTGAACCTTACTTCCACTGCGACTTGATGCTTGGGGTTGAGAGTAAAGCAAGAAGCCCTCATGGGAGGCTGTACACACAGGTCCCCCCAAATGATAGCACTTGGCTGCTATCATACACAGTGGTCTATGCCGTGGGCATTATGGGTTGAGCACCTCTAACTGAAGACTCAAAAATTCAAAGTGCTCTAAGTACAAAACTTTTTGAGTGTTCACATGACACCAGAAGTGGAAAATGCCACCTGGAATCTCATGTGATACATCACAGTCAAAATGTAAAAATATTATACAAAATTACTTTCAGACTAAATGCACTGTATAAGGAATAAATAAATGAAGGGCAAAATACAAGATAGATAAAAGGAAACAGAGAGATAGATATGTTGCAGAAGGGAAGAGGACTGAGAGATGGAGAAAGGATGAAGGAGGGGAGAAGAAGGGAATGAAAAAAGAATTAAGATGTGTTATGTATGTGTACCAACTCCCTATGAAGTAGGTAATCATTATGTATGTAAACATGTATCAATAAAAATAAAAATTAAAAAATAAATTTAGATCAAAGCAGAGAGAAAAAATACTATGTTTATACAGATTTCATATTTAGACTTAAGATATCATCCCTGAGATGTCTCATTATGTACATGCAAATATTCTAAAATCGGGGGGGAAAAATTCAAAATCCAAACACTTCTTTTCCCAAGTGTTTTGTGTAAGGGACACTCAACCTGTACTACATCTTTTCACTAACTTCTAACAATCAAATAGATGGTGAGCAATTCAGAAGCTATGAAATGCAAAACTCTGTTCCTCCCCAGGACCTTAATCCCTTCTCCAGAGGCAACTACAGTTACCAGCACCTTATAGTGTTCCTTAAATGTTCTACTCCAAGACCTGCACTGTCCAATGTGGTAGCCAGCAGCCACAGATGTCCTTTTAAATTTAAATGAATCAAAATGAAATAAAACATCTGTTAGCTTTATTTCAAGTGCTCAATAGCTGCCCAAAGATAGTGGCTATTCTATTAGATAATGCACATGTATAGCATTTCTTTTCTTTTCTTTCTTTCTTTTCTTTTTTTGGTACCAGGGATCAAACTCAGGACCTTGTGCTTGCAAGTATTAGCATTTCTATCATTGAAGGAAGTCCTATTGGACACCTCTGGTTAAAAATATTTTTATGCATGTATTTTGTACACATATATTTTGTATATACAGATGCGTGGGTATATGTACAAATATTTTCTAGGCTTTTTGCTTTGAAATAATTACAGACTTACAGGAAGTTATAAAGATAGTAGAGAGGGGTTTGGTGTGTACTTCACCTAATTTTCCCAATGGTTATATACCATTATTGGGGATTGAGCACATGGCCTTCACACTGAGTTACATCCCCAGCTCCTTTTTTTTTTTTTTAAGTCTTGGAACTGTTTCTCACTAAACCACTAAGTTGCCCAGGCTGGAGTTGAACTTGGGACCCTCCTGCCTCAGCCTCTCAGAGCGCTGGGATTACAGGTATGTATTACTCTGCCAGCACATCTTACATAAAATATAGTAGAATATTAAAACCAGAAGGTTGACATTGATGCCACATCTTATCCTGTGACAGTCAAGGTAGAGAATCATCATTGCAATTAAGATACAGAATTATTCTATCATTACAAAGATGTACCTCACGCAGCTCCTTTATAATCACACATACTCAGGGCCAGGGATTTACCTCAGTGGTTCCGCCACCTGCCTCACAAGCACAAGGTCCTGAGTTTGATCCCCCGTACCAAAACAAAACAAAAAAAAATCACACATGCTTCCCTCCCTCCCACCATCCTTGAACCCTGGAAAACACCAATCTGTTTTCCATTTGTATAATCTTGTCATTCTGAGAATGTTGCATACAGTTGTCCCTTGCTATCCTAAGACTGGTTTTAGGACTTCCTCAGATACAAAAGTCTGAGGATGCTCATGTCCCTTACATAGAATGGTGTAGTATTTGCATATCATCCCCATCCATGCACAGCCTCCTGTACATCTCAATCTCTAGTTTACTTTTAATCCCTAATACAATGTGATAGGCACAGTTGTTACACTGTATAATTTTATTTGTATTATTTTTAATATTGTACTATTGTTTTTAAATTTATTTATTTATTTATCTTTTTGGTTCTGGGTATCGAACTCGGGACCTTGCGCTTGCAAGGCAGGCGGTGGAACCACTGAGCTGAATCCCCAGCCCTTAAATTTATTTTTTTAAAAATATGGTTAGACCTTTGTATCTAAGTCCCACATAAGCATATTCAACCAACTTCATATAAAAAAAAATACTTGAAAGGGCCAGGGATTTAGCTCAGTGGTGCCACCACCTGCCTCACAAGTGTAAGGTCCTGAGTTTGAGCCCCAGTACCAAAAAAAAAAAAAAAGAAAAGAAAAAAAGAAAAGAAAAAAGAAAAATACTGTTTGTGCTGAACAAGTATGACCTGTTTCTGGGCACTATTCCCTACACAATACCATGTAATACTATTTACATGGTAATCACATCCTTTTAGGCACCACAGGTCATCTAGAGATGGTTTAAAATAAAGGCAAGGAGGTACATAGGTTATACAAAAACACTACGTCATTTTATATAAGGGACTTGAGCATCTTTGGATTTTGGTAACTTCAGGTATGGGAATGAGTGTGTGTTCCTGGATTCCATCCTCTTGTGGCCTTTTCATATTGACTTTTCCTGCCTAATTTGCACAATGCTTTTGGTATCTACTTGTAGATTTGTGTGTCTTAATAGCTTTTTCCACCATTGTCACATTTGTTTTAGGTTATTCAAATTTTTATTTCAATCCCTATTATTCTTGTTACATAGATTAATTTTCAGAGTCCTCAAGTCCTGGCTCTTTGCTGTTTGTCCAGAGTTTTAGTTGTAACTTGTAAGAGAGTTTGTAAGATGTTTACTCCATCTTGGCGGCACCAGAAGTTTACAGACTCTTGTGAAATAAATATAAGTATTGTTAAATTAAATAAGCAGGAGGCCATTAGTCTGAGGCTCCCATAATTTGAGCTCCTACATTACAAACTGTAGTCTTAGTATGTAAATAAGCCAGATCCTGATTTAAGTAGTATAACAAATGGCCAGGTTTCAGCCAATCAGAAACAGCTAAGCTTCAGCCAATCACAGTCAGCCAACTGATCAGACCATGTCCAAATAAAGGAACGGCATATTACATGCTGCCTATAGAAAGAAATGCCCACCAGTAGCCAAACAGGTGATTTCTCTACTTTGTTCCCATGTTTGTCCAACTTTTATTGGCCTTTGTGTTTACTGCTCATTTGAACAGCACTCTGTGAACCTCATCTGGTTCGGCATGAAAACCTGATTCATGAATCATTTTTTTCTCAGGTATATTCTATTGAGTTTAACTTGTCTAAAGTTTTTCTTTTAGCAATATATATGAAAGAAAATGTTTTCTATCATTTACAAACAAAAGCATGGTCATAGTGTGCTAAAATATGAATGATGCTTATATATGAGCAATAAGGTCATTTTATAAGGTTCTGTGCTTTCCTATACCTTTGTGACTAAATGTATTATTTGTGTAATTAAAACATCACAAAACAATATTGACTTTAGATTTGTATGTAACTTTATTTATTTTTATTTATTTATTTAATTTTTTTTTTATTTTTGTACCCGGATTGAACTCGAGATCTTGCACTTGCGAGGCAGGCAGTGGCACCACTGAGCTAAATCCCTGTTGTTTATTTATTAATTTTTGAGACAGGGTCTTGCTATGTAGTTCAGGCTGGCTTTGAACTCATGTAGCTCAGGCTGGCCTCTCTTGACAATCCTCTGAACTCAGCCTCCCGAGTGCTAGGATTATAGGTATGCACCACCACATTGGGGTGTAACCTTAATTTAGACATGTGGTTCCTTGAGGATGTAGAATAGTAAAAAAAGAAAGAATATGGGGGCTCAGATACAGGTGGTGATTAAGTACAGCAAGAGATGTCCTTGCACAAGTTACTGCTGGTCCCTGAAGACTCTCTGGTCCACTCATGATCGGAAATTAAATGGATCAGCATATTTGACTGTAGAAAAACACATCGTTCTCATACCAGTATGGATGGATGGATGAAACCAGGAAAACTAGAGGTTACTAAAAAAATGTAATGCTTAAATAGGCTAACAAAGGTAGAAAAGTGTATTGTGGCTCCTTCCTCTTAATATAAAAGTGAAATGTAACATATATATATAAAATAATTATCTATATATCCATATTGATATATTATCTATATCTATATCTCCTCATTGCTGGTAACAGGTAAACTCACCGGTAATTCACCATTCATAACTGGTAAACTTATTTATCAATAAGGTCTTTAGTTTCAGTCCAACTTTGTTCTAGGCATTTTCTTTGTTGCTTAAAATGTTATGATAGCTACTTCAGAGGTGATTCAAATTCTGAAAATAGATTGTTGAGAGCAAGAGTAAACGTGAAATACATCTTTATCTTGCACAAAGATAGTCTTTACTTGGTGCATATACCTGTAAAGGTAGGAATAGGAACTTCAAGATGTGGGCATTTGGAGTAACACAAATGGACATATCCTACTGAGACAACGCATTCCAATCTGTAGAAGAGCTTTATTTAGAATATATGTTAAAATCTTCGAGCACTTTCAGACCCATCCTTAAGACAACATTCATCTCATTTCTAGTTCTGTTAGGGATTTCATTTTTTTGTTTGATTCAGAAAATGTGAGCAAAGATGGTGATATAGTAGAAGTACACTATAGCAAGTTCAGAGGTGTGCAGGAGTTAAGAGTATAGAAGTGCAAAGTTGTATCTTTTTAAGCAACTATAGGAAGCTGACTTTCGGTTTTTGAAGCTCATGATCTGCAGTGAATGCTCGAGCATTCGGGTCCTTCTGTATCAGTCTTACTGTCCGCGGCCCTTGTCACCACCGGGCACAGCCTAATTTGCTTAAGTTAATGTGCAGTGTCTTTCATTCTAGGAAAATGAACAAAACCTAGGGTTATGGTCTAAGCACTTTATATTGAAAATGGTATATTAAAAGTTGAATTATAATTTAGTACTTTCCTAGGAGAAACCATGCTTATAAATAGGTGTTTAATTACATGGTCAGTCCCTAAAAACTCCTTGGACTTGTCAGGTGACTTCTGGTATCACTAAATGCTCCGTAGTTTCTGACACAAGCAGTCAGTACCATTTGTGAAGAAAAATATTGGAGCTTTTTTTCATGACATGTAGGTAAAGTGAGAAGCATAAATTTTATAGAGACCTGCTATCCACATTCTGACTCCTTGACATTCAGGGGGCTGAAACCCAAATAATAATAATAATAATAATAATCCTCCTCCTCCTCCTCCTCCTCCGTACTATTGTTTTTAAATTTATTTATTTATTTATCTTTTTGGTTCTGGGTATCGAACTCGGGACCTTGCGCTTGCAAGGCAGGCGGTGGAACCAC